ATTATTTAACTGTCATAAAGTCAATTGCAATTCAGGTTTGACAATCTAATTGCGATTACTATTACTAATTCTTGAGATAAAATAATCATTTCTTGTTGATTATCAGTGTTAATTTGTTTAAATTAAAATAACTAATTGTAAGTTAGATACTTTTTTATGTATCGGGTTGACTTTTATTTGAATGAATTATCAATTGCTGGTAAACTAATTGTATCATTAGTGTTGATTACTGATGTAATTTGTTTTGCTCATTTCATGGTGAAGTTCTTGAAGTTGAAAATATCTTGTGATTATTATAATTCAGTCCATTTTAATTACAGAACATAAATTATTGGTGTAATCGTAGGAATAAGGAAGATGATTTCTTTTCTTTTTGGTCTCTTCCTCTCTTCCTATCTAACTGGAGGTTAATTAATTAATTAGATCATCTGTAATTAAATTGAGATGAACATGCTGGTAAATTATCAACGTAAGTGCCTGTTATCATTTTATTATCATGATTAGTTAGAGTATAATCATGAATATTTGACAAAAGTTTTAGTTTTTCTTTATTGGGGAAAAATGTCAAGAAATGAATTTAGTTCAATGAACTTTTCAATTTGATGAGATATCTTTTCATACTTTTAGTCTATGAAATTGTAGGATGATAAGAATGAGAGGATGAGAGAATATTAGAAATGGTATTGTCATCTTAAAGACGATTCATCATGGGGAAAGGATGATAAAGAGAAAGGGAGAGGGAAAGTAAGGACATCATATGAAAAGATGATGATGATGATGATGATTAAGATGATGATGAAGGGAAAGATGAGTGTGGTAATAGTGAGGGAGAGATGGCTGAGGATTAAGAGGAGGTCAACAATAAGAGAGTAGAAAGTAAAGAAAATGTGATGAGGAAGAAAAGTTATCATTTCGAGGAAACAATTGGAAAGAAACTTTTCTTCCTTTTGGTTATACTTTTCCATAATTCTGATCGATTGATGGAAATATTTTTTGATCACCTTGATGGATTGTTATTCAATGTATTCACTGAACAGCCTGAATGGTAATATATTAACAAAGAAAAGTGTGAAAATAAAATGATAATTGAGTTTAGGATGAGAGATGAGAATGCAAATGAGTTCTGAATGAACAACTTGTTCAGAACTTGGGAGTTTCTTTGTAACAGTTACATTTCATGTTACAGTTTGATGATTTAATTTGATGAGAAGAGCACAGAGTAAGAACGAGAGAGGAAGAAAGAGAGAGATTAAGACTAAATCATGATAAAGAAAAAGCAAGAAGACAAGGATGATGATGAGGGAGAAACACATAATGTCTAAGACGATATTAGGTGATCCTTAAGGTCTGTTTCACATAATTGCTTGAGACAAAAACGAAGTAATCTGTTCATGGGCTAAGATGCCGATGATGATTTCATTTGATTCAATCGACTGGAAATCAAGTGAGAGAAAGAGTGAGAAAACCATGATAATAAAGATAGAAAAAAACTCTCATAAAGTTTTTACTCTTCATCTCTCAAAGTTACATCTTAAGTTTTGATAGACGATCATGAAAGATGATCTCATTTGATTATCATCATTATTTGGTAGTCAAGGTAGAAATAAGAAGTAAATCTATTAATTCTTATTCTATGTATACACTTCGTTTCCCCCTGGAAGATTAATCTATGTATTCTGAATACAGAAAATCATTTCATGAGGATACATAAGTTAACTCTTTAAGACAAGATACAGATTTACAAAGTAAATGAAGATAAAGATGATGATGCTGATGATGAATATGAAAATAAGAAGTTAAAGTTTCAGAGATTTGAAATACATATAAACAGAGGAAGAATATCATGAATCTAATTTCCATTCTTAGCATGGAGATTCTTAATTCGTCTTGAACATTAAACCAAACAAAAACTGGAACTTTCATCCAAAGGAGATAACCTTTTGTTGTATATTCATACATATATCTTTGGATAATATCATCATTATCATTATTATTATTGGTATCCAACCGAGATTAAGCTTGATGATAAGATATGATAGTTTCTTAAGAGATAATAAGTTTAGGAAGACATAGATTAGATAAAGTTTGGGTTAGTTATTAATACGAAAGAGTGAAAATAAATCACTAACTGTAAATGTAACTGGTTGGAGATTCTCGCACAATAAACAATATACAGTATTAATGATTAGATTGCTTTGGAATAAGATTAGAAATTAAGATGGAATAATGATGATTACTATCAATAGAGATTTTTAATTTCTCTGTTGTCAACGATAATTCCATAGATTAATGAACATTATGATGATTGCATGAAGAACATAAAGTTTTCATTAAGCTTCTTTTCTTATTTTAACCTGAGGTCAACATTTACCTTCATCCCGAAAGAGATTCAACTTACAATGGCTAATTTGATTACTTTCAAGTATCATCTTTGTTTCCGTCATCATCATTATTTCTCTCTCTCTCTCTCTCTTTCTCAAGATGAAAATTGAGGAAGAGAAAAGTTTGTTAGTAGAGAAACCATATTATCATGGTTTACTTTTTTTCTTCTTCATTTACATGGTTACATTACAAATCGATTCAAATTCTGATGATGATAGAACTCGAATCATCATGATCACTATCATATGGTGGTGATGCTGGTGAAACAAAGAGGAAAAAATTCCCCAAAGAAAATTGTATTTTCTTTGAAAGATGTAGATGATGAGGATGAGAAGAAGAGAAGAAGACAAGGTGATGGTATATAAGATGAATAATATTCAGCAAATGAAATGCTATCAACATGATATTGTGAGAAAAAAATAATATCAACCTATATGTTTATATGTATTCTAAGCAGATTCTGACAGAATAATATTTCTCTTCATTATTATTATCATCATTATCATCCGCATCATCATATACCTTTACCATATTGAGCCAATTAAGAAAAAAATTAAGAATCATCTCCTTTCCTCTTACTCCACTTATTCATCCTTGATCATCATCATCATTATTATTATCTTTACCTTCATCATCAAATTAACATGATCATCTTAATAATAAATTGAATAACTTACTACGATAATTAAATATTATCACTGTTTCAACTGAGACTCTTGATGATAATTTAAGTTAATCAATGAAGTTTCATCATTTTCATTCAACATCTTCATTAGTTAGTGAGTTTATCAAGTCAATTCAGTTTACCAATCATACTGATTCCCTGTAGACATAATCATTGATAGATCATCAATATAACATGAAGATGATGATAAATTAAATTGATAACTCATTTTATCTGGAATAATCTTTGATGATGTTACAATGTTTACAATCATCTTGATTATCTTCATGGAAACTCAATAATGTATAAGATTTTATCAAATAACTTTCAACTCAATCAACTGACCTTATCTTTCTTGTTGTTGTTTATTAAAAGTATTCAGAGCAAGAGCGAGAGACAGAATTTCATGTTATCATCATGAAATTTCTAGATAATGATGATTAATATCAATAATAACTGAAGCAAAGAGCAAAATTCTGATGAATATTTAATCTTCCCGGTTTGCAGTAATCAAGTTTTACCTCAATAATCAAAGTTTACTCCTTTCCATGATGATGGTGCATGGTAAAAGTTCATTATCAGATTCTAACCCTTTTTGAAAACTAATTCCGATGAATAGTTAATGTATTGTTACCTTTTTTGTATTCAAAATTAAGATAATCATGTTAAATTACCAGAATTTCAGATCAGCATCATGATTAACTTTTGGTTTTCTCGATTTTTATTTCCAGCAATTTAAGTGGTTTAATCTATTATTTTTTTCGCATTCTCTTTTCAATTACAATGATGATGATGATGATAACGATTACATGATGAATTTGACTTCGATAAAGTTTCAATTCTACTAATAGATTGTAAAAATAAATGAAACAGGAAATAGTTTCATGTAAGCGACTTCCTCCCACCTCCTCTCAAGAAGCAATTCAACTCCTATTATCATTCATTTCCCTCATCATCATCATCTTTCTTGTCTTCCAACTTTCTGTCCACTTTCAAACTGGACACAACAAATAAAACCTTACCCATTGTTTGCTTTTGATTTCTAATGAGATAACTTGACCAATTTATTGTCTTCCACTGGTCATCTCTTTCCTCCATCATTGAATAACATTGATTTCTATTCTTACTTTTTTGTTTGTTTTCTTGTCTTTCTCAACGATTCATTTTCATTCATTCCTATTACATGAAAAATACACACTCACATGAAATGAACAATATCATCCTGATGATTATCATGACATGAATGAAAGTGAAGCAAACTTATTACTCCCTCATCTCATGTCCACTGATAACTTTGCTTCTCATCTCAATGGTCATCTTTTTACCCTCAAGGCTTAAATTAATAAAATAAATATTACTCTAAATTCATTTACTCTAAAAAGGGTCAAATTATTTTCCAATGTACATTATTTACCTTCAGGGTTGATTATCAATGATATTGAAACTATTCATTACCCTGAAATCAGAATTCTAGTCAGATTGTTAACTGAAATAAATTGAATTCTTGTTTCAACATTTGAAGATTTTGGAGAAATTTCTGTTCAACCCTAATTCGATGATTTAACTGATTATTCAGAACACTAATTAATTAATCAAATGAGTTGATTAACCCGAGTAAAGTTAATTAAGAGAAAGGAAAATTATATAAAAAGTTCTGAGGAAATTGTATCAACTATTATTATTCATTATCATGAGAACTGGGAGTTAACTCATGGATTTTAATGAACTGATATTCTGATAACTGTCAAGATTAATGATTAAAAATGATGTTAATTTGATTCCGATTGAATTGATTTATCATCAGGATTGATGATAATCAAAATCAAATCAATTATTAATATTAACTTTGTTTTTCATTGAAATTGACTGTTGATTATTTGATGAGGCTTTTTTTTTGATTGTTTAATGATTGGATGGATATCTTAACTTAGCTTTTAATTGATTAATCACTTACCTCTTTTAACTATTGTTAATTGATTAATTATCTTGGCTTGTTGTTCACTTAATGATAAATTGTTAAATGGTTGATCAGTTGAACGAGACGTTAATTTATTATCAAGTGATTGGATTTGTGCTTGTCCATTGATTTTATTAGGTGTAATTGTAGTTAAATTGTTACAATTGTTATCATTAATTACAGTTGAAGATAACAACAATTTATCAGAAGCAATTGAATCAACTGATAATAACACTAATGTTGAAAGGGATACAATTAAAAGTAACAATGTAAACCTAATTGTAATCTTAATCATCACCATGTTTAACAATTTGGATCAACTTAATTGTTGATTAAACAAAAACTTCACAAAAGATGAACAAACAATTTAAATAAAAAATTGTATTCACTTTGAGAAAACTGATAAATCAATCACATCAGATTAACATTATCGGTGATTTATTTAATTGTGCATAATTTTCACGCAATTAGTTAAACAATTAGACTTGGATAATTGGTGCACAGAGAAAATAATTAATAATCATCGGTGTACCTCGAGTTTCATCGAGTTGACCGTTAGAACAAATTTGTTTTTTCTATTGTAACATTGTCTCTCTCACGATGGATTCTCATCTGTGAATTACCGGTGAAAGAATCAAGATAATGATAAAAAGAGGGAAGATGGTGAGTCGAGTGAGATGATGATCAGCATGATGAAGAAGATGATGATGATAAGTCTCTCTTTTTTCTCTCTTTTCCTTTTTTCCGCCTCCATGAATTCAGAATGAAACTCATTGACAAAATTTCTCGGCTCATGCTTACAAAATACAAATTCGAACTGAACAGAACTTTCTATTCAGAACTTTTTTCTATTCTTCTTTCTATCTTCATCTTCCGTTGGCATAACAACTATATTTATCACTTCTCTTTCGTCATCTTCATCATCCTTTCAAGCTCCTGGTGACAGTTTAAATGTTACTTACAATTAATGGGCGACAATAATCATATGATTTACTGAGAAAACTTTTTCATTTTCTCAACAATCAAGCAAATTATTTTATCTAATGAATCCGAGTTAATTGCTTCAATTTAATATTCTAAAAAGAAACAAATAATTGTTTCGAAATTTTAATTGTTAACAAAGTTTAACTAAGACAATTTATCTTCAGAACAAATAGTTTTGCTCTTAACTGTTGTTCTGGTTTAAGTTTGGAAATCTCAGCTTAAGTAGTTCAACATTTGTTGCATGATTAATTTGTTGAGAAATTAGTTAATTGTTTTGTAATTTTGGTTGAATAAAATAGATTAACTTTTCGCGACAAATTTCAGAGTTTAATTATTGATTGAAGTTTAATTTTTCGTCATTATTCGTGATTAGGAGATGGCCCCTTTTCTCCGGTTTGTTTACCTTTTTGGACGCGGTAAAAATTTTATTTTTTATTGTTTTTCTTTTGTTTTCTCGTTAATTGTTTCATTTGTGATTAGATTTTGTGAATTATGGATTTCGATTGTCCGGGAATCGAAAGTTACTTTCCTCGTGAATGTTTCGGTGATTCAAATTTCAGAAAAATAATTGACCATTGTAAAGAAGTGGTTGAACCTTTATTACCGATGGAAGGACTCACTTTGGATTGTATTGAAAACGAAGGTTACTTTTCTATTGATATTTATCGTTTAGAATTTGTCAATGAAGAATTTTTGAATAAAATTCTTGAAGATCCGTTAAATTATTCTAAATATTTGGGTGTTGCTGTTCTCATGCTTTACAAGGCTTATAAGGAATCGGAGGCCGAGGAAGGAGCAAGTCAAACCTGCGAAATTGAAACGCTTAGAAGACTTTGGTTTGAATGTACTGGTTACAAGGAGATAATCCCAATCGCCAGTATTTCACCGCCTCATTATGGTAAATTTGTCACCATCTCCGGTATGGTTGCTTCAATTAGTAAAGTCACGGAGACAGTATACGAGGCCACCTTTCGATGTGAGAAATGTTCAAGTCTTCAATATGTACTTCAACCCATGGGACAATTTCAAACTCCGAAAACTTGCCATTCACCTAATTGTAGTCTCCAGTCCAACAATTCTCAAGCAAATCATCGTCCATCATCTATTACATTTTCACGACTCAAACATGCCGATATCAAAGTACCATCACAGATAATTACAGTGATCCAAACTCGTTTCGACAATAAATCAAACGAGAAACATGTCGATGTAATTCAAGTTCAGGTTAGAAATTTTCGATATCAATTTAATGGCTTATTCTAATCTCTATGTTTCCCTTTCTTCCCTTAAAAACAGCTATTAAATCATCTGATAGAAAAATGTTTCATCATGGATTCAGTAACGGTCTCTGGTATCATAGTTGAACCCGAAAATATTGAAGGAACTGGAATCTGTAGCTTTTACATGATATGCATATCTAGATATGTATGTTATATGAGGGAGGCTAGTTTTAAATGTAATAGATGACTTTTCGTGGCTAATATAATAATCATTAAATCTTGACGCGTGTTGACCTTTTTTAGACAATGAAAAAATAAAATATAAATTAAGAGATCGTTTTTCAATAATATTTACCATAAGTAAAAGTGTTTCAAGAGATTTTATCAAACAAAGATGATTTTTTTTCTAATATTAGAACAATCACGTTTTTTAATTCCCTTGTAATCGAATATTTTTTGTAAATGATTATGCAAAATTGATTGAATTTGGGAAGATCGATCACTGACAGAGATTGAATGCAGGATAGTTTGATGAATACGAGAGATCAGTTGATATTTCTCTTTGTGAACTTTGATTACATCATGAATTATTCTCGAGATGCTTTTAAAGCTCTATCGATATTTCCGAAAGTACCCAAGGCTTTGCTCAAGCTTATATTTAAAAATATGTTCGGTTCTGCTCCTGTTTTATTCATTAACACTTCTTATCGTACGAACTCAGATATTTCGTTCGTGATATCAGGTGAAGCTGATATAATTTTTCCAGGTGAATATTTTAATTATCTGGATGGCACAGAAGTCAATGTATCTATTGGGCCGGCGGTTGGCAGTTACGGTTGTGTCTTCTTGAATATATACCCAAACGCGTCAACTGGTGTAATTAACAAAGGAATACTATCATCCCTTGAGATCGTCGATTATTCCGTTTGTATCTTCGTCACCCTGTTAACTGTTCTGACTTTGATAATATGTTTTGCTCGATCTAATATCAGGAGTAAATATTCCACCTTTTATCAACATTTGATCACAGAGTTTCTACTTAAAACTATCAAAGGTAAATTTGGGTTATTCATATTGCTGACTTGTTCTTTCTCAGTTTATTACATATTACATTTATTTTCCGCATCGTTCACAACACAATACTCGATAGCTTTACGTCCAAAACCATTGAATACCTGGTCTGATCTAACTTCAAGAAAAGAAATCAATTGTATTGCAGATATAAATAATTGTTATCGTTTCGCAAACGAGTCTATGGGCTTAGGAAACCCACTAAGTCCTATTGATTATCGGCTACTCGCTGAATATTTTCAAGAAACGGCTAATGAATCAATGATTTCACTCTTTGGAAAAGACAATAGCGTTGTGCAAGTGTTCAGACTTCATTGTCAATGTTATAATCGTATAAATAATAATCTGTTTAAAAATGGAGCGAATAGTCTGTTTCATTCTGGTACAGTTCGCTATTTTGCAAGAGCAGGTGCTTTCTTTTATAATACTAATATTGATCGTAATAAGAAACGATGGATTATCAGAGCTTCGTATTCGCTTTTTGAACATGGTATGTATTCAGTGGAAAAAGCTTATAAAACATACTATGGTCGTGTCGAGAGCCTTTTATGGCCCTCATGTTGGCGTTACGAGATGTTAAGTACTCGACCAGAAGGTTCATACAGTCCAGTTGCTTATTCTAATTTTATCGATCTAATTTATCTTTACCTATCACTTTGTATTCTTGCGATTTTTACATTTTTAGTTGAATTTTTCCGCAATAAATGTAAGTCTTAAGATGGATAAGAGCAACTCTGTAACTATGCATCTGCCGATAAAATCAATTATATCATTAACCAATTCGACTTAAGCTTATGATAAGTCAATTACACTGTATTCCATAGCTTGGACTCTTCAGAATACAGTTAGGTCAAAACTAAAAGTTGTCACTTTCTTTAATAAAAATGCATTTAACATCGTTGAATTTGACTTTCAACGTAATTTAATCAGTTGTTTTCAGAAAGTTCATTCACAGCTTCGATAACGTATGACTTTTTCTCTGGAATCCAGAGTCTGGATGAAATTAGACCTTGAAATGATTGAAACTAATTGTTTAACTAATTCTTTTCAACCAACACTTTACTCATTTAATATTGATCCCGTAAACTATCAGCCCATTGAAAGTTGATATCTATTGGTTCAAACGCGTTAACGATAAACAAAATGTAAATTAATCACAAATAAAGTTTGGATTCTATTGATACAATAATGACTAATTCTCACAGGCGATTGGAGTGTAAATTCACATTAATCAAATGGTATTCTCATCAAATATAAATCTTAAGATGTAATAAGATAATTCCATTATTGCAGAATTTGTGGCAGTAGCACTCAACTAAATTATGAGTTAAATTGATTATTTCGTTACTTGAACTTACGTTTAAACCACGATTGAGTGAAAATATTCATTTAATGTTTACTTGAGTGTTAATGACTTTTTATTTAAGTGTTAGTTAAACACGAATAAAGTTTACATTGTGTCTATTCAATTGACTACTTCTCGCAGATGATTGAAGTATAAATTAACATTAATCAAATGGAAATCTACAGGGCGTAACAACCAAATATCCGGACTTTTGACGCTTTACCATTTCTAGGCTATTTATTAGGTCAGAGTTTTTTCTTCGCGATTCTACAGAGAAAATGTACATTGTCATTTTGTATAAAAAGGCAGTTCTAGTGGAATTAATGTCACTTATAATCAATAATTGCTTTAATCAACAACTGGAAAAGAATCTTTACCTTGTGCTTCGTAGTAACAATCAACAATATCATCATGAAATTATACTTAAGCAAAATTATCGTTGTCATCGTTGCTCTCATTGGATTTGCTGAACACCTTATTGCTCATAAAGTAGTGAGAGCTTTGGCTGATGATTTATTATTCGCTGTTAGTGATACTCTAGACAAAAACGGCGAAAGTTAGTCAATCTGGATATAATATCTGAAGAACTTCGCTTGAATTTTGCTGTTGATCAGCGTTTAATGCTTGAATCAAGTTAAAAGAATAAAAAATTAATAATTTGCTTTAATAAGTTTTCTTTGTTACTTTTCACGTCCCGTTTTACGTTCATTAAAAAATATTAACCTTTCATTTCCTCTCGTGATTTTATTATGAATACATCGGGACTAAATGTTTTTTAAACATTTCTTTCTTCATTTTAAATACACAATCAAGTAAACTATTTTATCTAATGAATCCGAGTTAATTGCTTCAATTTAATATTCTAAAAAGAAACAAATAATTGTTTCGAAATTTTAATTGTTAACAAAGTTTAACTAAGACAATTTATCTTCAGAACAAATAGTTTTGCTCTTAACTGTTGTTCTGGTTTAAGTTTGGAAATCTCAGCTTAAGTAGTTCAACATTTGTTGCATGATTAATTTGTTGAGAAATTAGTTAATTGTTTTGTAATTTTGGTTGAATAAAATAGATTAACTTTTCGCGACAAATTTCAGAGTTTAATTATTGATTGAAGTTTAATTTTCGTCATTATTCGTGATTAGGAGATGGCCCTTTTCCGGTTTGTTTACCTTTTTGGACGCGGTAAAAATTTTATTTTTTATTGTTTTTCTTTTGTTTTCTCGTTAATTGTTTCATTTGTGATTAGATTTTGTGAATTATGGATTTCGATTGTCCGGGAATCGAAAGTTACTTTCCTCGTGAATGTTTCGGTGATTCAAATTTCAGAAAAATAATTGACCATTGTAAAGAAGTGGTTGAACCTTTATTACCGATGGAAGGACTCACTTTGGATTGTATTGAAAACGAAGGTTACTTTTCTATTGATATTTATCGTTTAGAATTTGTCAATGAAGAATTTTTGAATAAAATTCTTGAAGATCCGTTAAATTATTCTAAATATTTGGGTGTTGCTGTTCTCATGCTTTACAAGGCTTATAAGGAATCGGAGGCCGAGGAAGGAGCAAGTCAAACCTGCGAAATTGAAACGCTTAGAAGACTTTGGTTTGAATGTACTGGTTACAAGGAGATAATCCCAATCGCCAGTATTTCACCGCCTCATTATGGTAAATTTGTCACCATCTCCGGTATGGTTGCTTCAATTAGTAAAGTCACGGAGACAGTATACGAGGCCACCTTTCGATGTGAGAAATGTTCAAGTCTTCAATATGTACTTCAACCCATGGGACAATTTCAAACTCCGAAAACTTGCCATTCACCTAATTGTAGTCTCCAGTCCAACAATTCTCAAGCAAATCATCGTCCATCATCTATTACATTTTCACGACTCAAACATGCGGATATCAAAGTACCATCACAGATAATTACAGTGATCCAAACTCGTTTCGACAATAAATCAAACGAGAAACATGTCGATGTAATTCAAGTTCAGGTTAGAAATTTTCGATATCAATTTAATGGCTTATTCTAATCTCTATGTTTCCCTTTCTTCCCTTAAAAACAGCTATTAAATCATCTGATAGAAAAATGTTTCATCATGGATTCAGTAACGGTCTCTGGTATCATAGTTGAACCCAAAAATATTGAAGGAACTGGAATCTGTAGCTTTTACATGATTGCATCAAGTTTAGCACAAAAAGAGGAAGAGAAATTCTCAAGCAACATCTTACGAGGAATTAAGGTAATTTTTCCTGTAACTATTCAAGAATCAATTGATAGTAATTAGTGTTTTGCATTTCTGATTTCAGGCTATCACTGACGAAGAAGATATTTTATCTCTTGTTGTTGCTTCATTTTGTCCATCAGTTTCATGTAATAATATAATCAAATTTGGTTTATTACTTTCATTGGTTGGTGGTCATGATTCAGAAAGTCCACCCGAAGATGAATCTATTACCTTTCGTGGGCCAATTCATATTTTACTACTTGGAGCTCCTAATAAGGATAAAAAGGAGATACTAAATGCTGCTCATCTTTTGGCTCCGATTTCATCTTATGTTGATAAAAATTATACTCAGAATTTGGTTTACGATGTGAAAGTTGAAAAAGGAGAGGAAACACTTCACGCTGGTCCGGTTCTACAGGCAAATAAGGGTGTTTGTTGTATCGATGATTTAGATTCAATGAAAACTCAATGGAATTTTATAAGTGAAATTATGGAAGCGCAAATATTTCAAGTAGCTAAAAATGCTTTCGTCAAGTCGATTCCTGTTGAGATTGGGATGATTGCATCATCCACTCCAGCTGGAGGTGCTTATCGAGCTGAGAGAACACTTTATGAGAACATTAAGATGCCTTGTGATATGTTAAATCAATTTGATCTTTTATTTCATCTGGTCGATGAACCTGATCATCAAAGTGATCGCAGTTTTGCCAAAAGAGTTTTAAAGAATCGTGAAGGTCGATCAACTTCACCATCACCTTCACCTTCATCATCTCCCGCATCAACACCAAAACGAGTTCGAAACAATTCAAGCCAATCAAGCAATGAACAATCATTAGCTAAAAGACTTTCCAATATTGATAAAGAAAAAATGGATCTCTTGCCACGAAAATTACTCTCTAAATATATTACTTTTGTTCGGACCAAAATTTTCCCGATATTCGATGAAGAAGCAAATATGACATTGTTCAACTTTTCAGCAGAATATCAAGAAAAAGCTTTTCGAGGAGTATCTGGACCGAATATCCATCCAAGCGATGGCCAATTACTCGCATCACTAATGAGACTCAGTATTGCAAGGGCAAGAATTGAGGGTCGAAATGTTGTTACTAAACAATTTGTCCAAGACATAGTTGAATTGATCAAATACACTCGAACAGATATATTTCCTAAAGATGTTCTATCTCTCAATTCACAATCAAGTTTACCTTCATTCCGAAGGCCAGTTGAATCATCAGAAGGACTTGTTGGTTTAGCTAATAAACGATGTCGTTCATCTAATGAGAGATTTGTTCGTTATCTTGAAGATTATTTCGCTGAAAATTCTGAGAAAGAATTTTCCATCGATGATCTATGGACAATCGCTCGATCAGGACCACCGGTGGCTAGATTTGAACAAATGGTCGAATTTCTCAACCACCATGGTTACATTTTGCAATGTGGAAATGGTAAATATCGTTGGGTTGCCCGTCGATAATCAATAACGAATCAAATGGTCCAGTTAATTTGTCACCGAATAATTTCATTTGCTATTTTCTTTAAATTACTTTCCTGTAAATAGATCATTTTTAGTTAAATTTGGTTAAAAATTTTGAATATTTATCATTGTATATTAACATATTGTACAACCATCTCACAGATCATCGTCATCATCAGAATAAAAACAAATTGTTGAAATGTTTTTCACTTTGATGCTTTTTTTTATGTATAAGGGAAATAATCATCAAGATTTATTTTTTTGGTTAAATTTGTAGATGACTGGTGATAGTGCAAGAGTAGCACAAATTAAAAGTACACCGATATTTGTGTAACTAAAATGTGATGACCCACTGGCAACAATTTTCTCCAGCGTTTTAACTGTTTGTATATGAAGAAATGAAGGAGGTGCTACACCAAAGAAAGTGGCCCAGAAAAAAGTTGAAATGGGCACATCAATAAGAGGTGAGACAAGATTGATGACCCAATTTGGTATGATGGGGGTTATCCTGAGAAACAAAATGTATGATAGTAAAAATGACCTGTTTTTGGCCACTTTAGCTCGATATTCTGACGCTCGTTCAGGAAAATATTTAAGAATCAGATCTCGACCAAAACAATATGAAATACAATAACAAATCGTTGCGCCAGTGGCTGAACACTGATGTTGGCAAATCAAGTGTCAATCATTTGTTGGGAAATGATCGTGACGAAAACCAGTAACAAAAACAGACAATAAAAATAAAAAGAAAGAAGAAAAAAAGAGAGAGAGAAAGAAATAAAGAGAAAGAGAATTAGACAGTGCAAAAAGAAGAAGAAAGCAATAAAGACAGAGATGATTAGTAAACAAAGGAGAGAAAGAGTAAAATGAAAAACTAATCACTGTTGAAACATAAATTACTTACTAGACAAATAAGAAACAAAGCCACAGGTAATGGAAACAGGTAACCTGATAAAAGGCTCAACATAATTGAACCTGGTATAGCACATGACTGGAGTAGAATGTACAATGAGGTCACGGCGAAAAATAAAACCATATAATGATCATCTCGATATTTAACCAGAACTGAGGCTAAATTTTTCACTTCATTCTCATTCTTTGGTATTTTCACTTTTAGCTTCTCAGTCTCGGATAATTTGGGAAAATTAAGGTAAACTACATAAACGGTTATCATATAAACAAGAAAAGTGACCAAAAGAGCATATTTTACATTCTTCTCAGGCCAAATTGTAGTGTTAAAAGACATTTGGTTGAAGCAAAAAAACAAAATTAACAGAACAAAAATAAAAATAAAATAAATTAACAAAAACGAATCCAATTAAACAAGTAAACACAAATTGACTGAAGGTAAATAAAAGTGATGAAAAGAAAATGAAAAAATCCTTTGACCATCGATTGTCAATACTATCGAAAATCGAAAATCGATACTATCATATGATTTGTTTACGTTTTTTGCATTTAATTTAATTTAATTTTCTTACCTCATTTATGTTTGTTTCTTGTTAATTGTGTGTTAGCATTTTACTTTTTGTTAGTCAATTAAATCAACCTGTGAATAATCAATCATGGATTCCTATCAAGATTTGTATCACTTTTGTCAATCGTTGAAAGCGATCAATGAGACAATCGCTATTCTTGAAGCTCATATTAAATTAAATGAAACTCTTAAGGCTGAATCGTTACCTCACGAAGTGGAGCCAATGGATAATCATCATCATATTTTAATCAATCTTCGTGATCAGATGATAAATAAACGACAAGATATTGAATTTAAATTGAAAACACCTGTAATATCGTCGCCAACAACATCAGTACCATTAACCACAACTTCAACAACCACAACAACAACAACGACGACGATAAACTCAACAGATTCCTGTAGTTACGCGGTTATTGACACCACGAAAGGAAGTACATCCAACCATGGGGATGAACATTTACCCCATGAAAATGAGAGTAAATGGTTAGTGGAAGATTGTGATCGAGCTGAAGCTGAGAAATTGTTATACAAAAAGCCAAGTGGAACCTTTCTCATCAGAAAAAGTCGAAATGGACAATTTGCTTTATCGATTATGGTTGATAGTAAAATCTGTCATTGTTTAATTAACAAAACGCCTCAAGGATTCGGTTTCGCTGCTCCTTATTACACTCATCCCACCCTCAAGAGTCTCGTCCTTCATTATCGTCAAACCTCATTGCAAGAACACAATGAGATGCTTCATACAACATTAGCATTTCCCGTTTTCTCTGATTCTTCCGATAACATTATATTAGAATAACAATTTACACATTCAAAGAGAAACATTTATTATCTTTACACAGGAAAAACAATTTATTTAAATCAATGGAAATGAAAGGCAACAAGTTTTAATTTCTTGTTCTTTTCACATTTTCAATCAACAGAAAAAAGCAAAAAGAAAAAAAAACAGAAAAAGCAAATTAAGAAAAGAATCAACGTTTTTGTATATCAATCATTGAATAAACTTGATGAAAAGAATTAATAATTTACCATTTTGTTAATTACTTCAATTAAATGAAAAGATTCATTAGTAACCAGATACAACAAGCTAAGTACAAAAAACACTAGAATGTATTAGGAAAGTTTCATATTATAATTGGTATCATAGATATTTAATTATTTTCGTTTTCTCTGCGTGTTTTTTATCATTCACATCATGATAATGATGATGAAAAAGATGAATTAAAGTTCAGTTTACAATTGATCAATGAAGAGGATTGAGTCGCTTTATTTTGGTTATTATTATTTAATCAATCTAATTCATCAGTTAAATGATGAATTAAACCGGGAGAGAGATGGTTTTTTGTTTGCAAGAGAAAAGAATGAAAGAAAGATTTTTGAGAGGTATTCATCTTTGAAACTTCAAGAGAAGTGCAGGGATAAGAGAGAAGAAAGAGAGAGAGAGAGAGAAAAGAGAAAGAATAAAGTGAGAGAAGAGAAGAGAAAGAGAAAAAAGTGACAGAGAAAGGGAAAGAAGTAAAGGAAGAGAAATACAGATTAAGGGTGTCGGTCTATTTGGAGAGGCGGGTTTTTGCCTGATTTTCGTATCGAACATCGCTTCTCGATTTCACTTCTTAATCTTTTTGCTTTTATAATAATAGTGTTGATGTTAAAAGATGAGGGCAATGCAGCGGGTGGATATAATCGTAGACTATTAGTTGGCTTCACCCTCCTGTTGTTCATCTCCATCCCCTGCTGTATCTGATGTCCAGAGCTATAATATTAAAACAAAAGAATATTGGAAATAAAAACCAAGAGAAAATAAAAAGGAATTAGTTGATTTGATAATAATAATAAGATCGATTCCAACAGAATGATGATGCTCATGAGTATTATTGTTTTCCAATTATTATCTTTAAAAAATCAAGATAATCCTCATCATCGTAATTTTTGTTATCATTCATTTTCATTATTCTTTTTCTCTCTCAAACGCAAACCTACCGTAAGATTATCTCTGAGGAGCTGCATTATGAGCGTACTATCTTTATAAGAGTCTTCATTAAGTGTGTCCAATTCGGCAATGGCGTCATCGAATGCCTAATACAATAGAATAGTAAAAATAAAGGAGTAAATAGATTAAACAAACGGTATAATAAATATCCATGCATGAGAAAGTTGAATATTCTGGTGATGCTAATGCAAGATGAAAATGTGAAAAATGTTAGAGAGACAGACAGACAGAGAGAAGAGAGCAGAGAGAGTGAAAATAGAGAGAAAGGAAGGAATGAAAGGAGAATGCAAGTGAGTGAGAGTGGATTGGGAGACAGAGAAAAGCAAACAGGCGCTTCACAGAGCAGAAGTGGGATGAAACTACCAGGGAAAAACAAGATTACCTGCTTTGCCAAATGACAAGCCCGATCAGGCGCATTAAGAATTTCATAATAGAAAACCGAGAAATTGAGAGCTAGGCCCAATCTAATGGGGTGAGTTGGCTGCAATTTACTTTTGCTAATGTCAAATGCTTCTTGATATGCTTTCTGTGACTCCTCAACCACACCTTATGATTGGTAGGGATTTTGAAAGAAAATATAAAGAGGGATAGGGATACATGACGACAGAAAGAGAGAGAGAGAGAGAGAGAAAGAGAGACACACACAAGCGAAAGTAAAAGAATAAATAGAAAGAAGGGAAGAAAGAGAAGAAAGGAGGTCCAAGTCAATGGAAGGGAAAAGGGGAAACATATGGAAAAAACATTCCGAAGAGATGAAATGAATGAGAAAAAGAGAAAGAGGAAAAAGAAGAGAGAGATAGATTGTTAGATGAAGATAGACAGTCACAAAGAGAGGAAGAAGAGAGGATAGATATATAGTAGTAGAGGAGAGATATGGAAAAAGGAAATTAATGGTAGTAGGTGAGCGAGTACAGAAAGCAAGTCAGAGAGAAAGCAGGCAAAGTAATATGATTATTCACCATGAGGATGAATGTTAAAATTGTATAAGAGGTGAAAAGAGAGAAATATCAAGATAGACACAGTAAATGTGAGAAACGATGAGTGAATCGGAAGTGTGAGTTAATAAGAAAAAATGTTTCGTTTGCAGCCCAATTAGAAGAGTTTTTTGAAGTCAAGGACATTGGTGGATATGTGGTTAATGTTGAATTAAATGTGGATAAAGAATCATTTAGAGAAAGTACATGAATTGAAAATAGGCGTAATAGAGATACAAGAAAATGGCGTAAAGTGTGAGGATAAAAAGATGGATGAAAGGTGGAAATAAAGAGAAAGATAAGACGCAAATTAGTTGATATTGATTTAAGATTTCGTACCTGCTTCGCAAGTTGACAAGCCTTATCAGGTGAATTGAGGATTTCGTAGTAAAACACGGAGAAGTTAAGGGCAAGGCCCAGACGAATGGGATGTGTTGGTTGCATTTTACTCTTACTTATATCAAAAGCTTCCTGGTATGCTTTTTGAGATTCTTCCACCACCTTGTTTCTCTGATCACCAGTGGCTACTTCTGCCAGATACCGATAATAATCGCCTTTCATTTTTAAGTAGAATACTTTGCTCTCCGCATTACTTGCCTTGGATATTAAATATTTATCTAGGAGAGCCAAGACTTCGTCGCAAATTTCAATCAATTCTTTTTCCACTTTACCCCGGTATTCTCGAGCCATTTGCTGTTTCCTTTCACTTCCCTCAGTCTTTTGTTCTATGCTAGAAATGACTCTCCATGATGACCGACGAGCACCAACGACGTTCTTGTAGGCAACGGATAATAAGTTCCTCTCTTCATTGCTTAATTCCACTCCTGTCTCGGTGACTTGTTTCATGGCCTGTGACATGTCGTCATATCTTTCAGCTTGTTCGGCTAATTTAGCTCTTTGAACCAAATCGTCTTTATCCATTTCTTGATTTTTTTTTTCTTTGTTGCTGAGGGGGCAGTAAATTAGTAATAGAAAGTGTTTTAAAGGTGATGTTTTTTAAACTGAATTAATAGATGTATTAAAGATGCTTAAGGGGTGGTGATGGTTATGTGTTGGTAACTAGATGAAAAATGAAGGTGGTGTGGTGTTGAAAAGTGTGTGTGTGTTGCTGGTGAAAAGGAGTAAACACAATAAATTTGTTTTTATACAGAGAGACACAAAATTAAATGTAAAATTTTGTTGATTTCAATTTACCAACAAAATATAATTAATATTATATTTATATTAAATATATATTTAAAGCAAAAACCAAGTCAGCAGTAAAAGAGTAGAGGAGAACCGAGAAGACGAAAACAAAAAGAGGAAGCGAGAGACAGAGAGAGACAGAAAGATAGAGACAGAGAGAAAAACAGAGAGAGAGAGAGAAAGAGATGGATGATAGAGTGACGAAGGTGGCCACTAGGAAAGGTCACACAAGAAGAAAAAAAATCCAAAAGAGAGTAAAATTTTTAGTAAAGTTATAATAGTAGATGTGTAGTTAGACAAGAAAGATGACTAATATTTTTTGGACTTTTCAGAATATAATAGTAATGATGATGAAGAAAAGAAGAAGAAGAAGAAGATGTTTGAAGATGATAATAAGTAAGAAAGGAGAGAAAGAGAAGTGAAAAGAAAAAAGGGAAGAGAGAAAGAGAGAAGAAAATGAGAGAAAGAGAAGGGAAAAAAATGTTATAGAGAAAAATAAATAGACAGAAAAAAAAGAAAGAGTAATATCTTTCTAAGAGAGTTGGAAGAGTGTAGACAGAGAAGATAAATAAAAGTAAAGACAGAGGAGTAAAGTGAAGAGAAAAAGAAAAACAGAAAATAGAAAGAGATTAATGTAGACAGAGGAGAAAAGAGACTAATTTTCTCGGTGAGAAAAGTAGAAAGAGAAAAAGAAAGAAAAAGGAAACGGAAATGCGTACATATTTAAAAGAAGGGGAAACCAACATGAGGGATCGAAAACAAAGAAAAGGGGATTAGTTGTGTTTTTCCCCTTTCGTCAATTCTTTTCTTCCCCTTTTACCATTCAAAATGTGCGCATTTCCGTTTCCTGTTGGAAGAACAAAAATGTTAACAGTTGACAGAGCGCAGAATCAGAGTCTCTCTTCGTCATTTTGGCAAAAGGTAATCATGTTTTTCCCTTTGGTAGTTTCATCCCACTTTCTGTTCTGTGAAGCGCCTCGACCATTTTCCTCTGTCTTTCACTTTTTCTCTCTTTCTTTTTCTCCTTTTCACTGTCTTTTTTCTCTTCTCTTTCTGTCTCGCTCTCAGTTTCTCTGTCTCATTTTTTCTTCTCTCTTTCTATTCTCTTCTCTGTCTACTAATTTTATTTCATGTTTCTTTCTCTTTCATCATCTTCATGTCTTCATCATCATCATCATCCTCTTCTTCTTCTTCTTCTCTCTCTCTCTCTCTCTGGTTCATCATTGTCTCTATTCAGCATTAGCATCACCAGAATATTCAACTTTCTCATGCATGGATATTTATTATACCGTTTGTTTAATCTATTTACTCCTTTATTTTTACTATTCTATTGTATTAGGCATTCGATGACGCCATTGCCGAATTGGACACACTTAATGAAGACTCTTATAAAGATAGTACGCTCATAATGCAGCTCCTCAGAGATAATCTTACGGTAGGTTTGCGTTTGAGAGAGAAAAAGAATAATGAAAATGAATGATAACAAAAATTACGATGATGAGGATTATCTTGATTTTTTAAAGATAATAATTGGAAAACAATAATACTCATGAGCATCATCATTCTGTTGGAATCGATCTTATTATTATTATCAAATCAACTAATTCCTTTTTATTTTTATTTTCATTTTCTCTTTCTCGTTCTCTCTTCTTACATCATCCTTTTTACTCTCTCACACACTCACTCACACTGTCGCTAATCCACTCACTTCTTAATTCAAATAATCTCTCTGCCTCCCTCCCTATCTTCCTTTTCCTCTCCCTCTCCCTCTTTCTCTCTCACATCTTAATTCAAACGGTCTCTCCCTTCCTCCCTCCCTCCACTCATCTTTGTCATCTTAATCTTCTTCATTATCAATATCATCCCCTCCTCATCATCTCATCAATTTACTATTAAAAAAAATCATTTTCACCTTATTAATACAAAAACAATATGATGATTACCTGTTCAATTGACCGATAATTTCTCTTAATTAATTTCTTCTTTTCTCCAATCACTAATTAACAATCAACTTCCCAAGAGATTTAATTAACTTATTAATTGTCAACAACTCGAATTGATTTTTATTTTATTTTTTCTTCCAATTCCAGTGCAATCGAAAACCATAAAAATAGAAGTTAAAAAGTTTCTCCAATTTTGTTTCCATTGTAAAACTTATTCTTGGATTTTAATTGTGTTTACAATTTAATTGTTTTCATCGTCCAACCGAACCAAAAGAAAAACAATTAATAAGGAATCGAAACAATTAAACTAATGTGACAATGAAAAGTGAAAGACAGTGGGACATTAAAGTATCACATTATGCTTTGAATACAATTAATCCGATTCGTCAGGTATTGGAAAACCTAAATGCTTCACCTAATCCGAACAAAAAGTTAATCCCACTTTCAATTGGTAAGTTTTATTACTTAATCTATTTAATGAATGAAAAGATTTAAAACTTTCACAATAACTAATTAACACAAACAATTAACAAGGTGATCCAACGGTTTTTGGTAATTTGGAGCCAAATAACATTATCCTTGAGGCGATGATTGAAAGTATCCAGAGTAACAAGTTCAATGGATATTTACCTTCCAATGGCGTTGAATCAGCACGTCAAGCGATTGCTGAGTATTCATCAACCTCTAACGTTCAAGTAGATCCAAAGGTGAGAATTTAGTTACAATTAAGTTTACTAATTAACCCAATTAACTTTTTTTTCTAGTAATATGGTTAATCATTTACCTTTTCATTATTTATTCATCGTTACCTTTTCTCTCTCTCTCTTTCTCTGCAAACATTTTAAGGCAATTTTCACTCTGCGGGTAATTTAATTACGATTGTTAATTGAGACAATAGCAATTAAGGCCCATGTAAACCACCCGTGTCTCCCTCGCACCCGTTTTAACGCTAATTTGCCACTCTCTCTCTCTCTCTCTCTCTCTCTCTCTCTCTCTCTCTCTCTCTCTTCATTCATCTTCTGAATATTTCATGAATGAACAATGAACTCGAATGAAAACTTTTCTCCATTAACAATTATATTCCATTAGTAATTTCAACTTACACTCGTGAACAATTTATCAACAATCAGTCAATTTTTACGATGATTTATTTAGACAATTAATTATTTTAACGCTTTACTTGGTAATTTAATTTCTCATCCACTTTTACAATCAAATTGCAATTAAAAGTCAAACAACAAGCAACATGTAGTTTAATCAACAATTTAAATACAATTGACCTTCAGACTAACAAACTTTTTTTGACTAAAACATTTTAAATTTGAAATAATTAACTTTTATCATTATTAGATACTTAGTTTAATCATTATCTTATCAATCAGTTGATCAATATGATTAATGAAGTGTAGTATTTGATTTAGTTGTTATCGTTAATTGTTGCTCATGGTTATCAATTGCTTTTGAAAAAATCTTCCCTGATTGTTGACCATGACCAATTTCAATATTTTAATTAAATTTGATTTGTTTCTTACTTTGCCTTTTTGTCGTTAATTGTTTGCAATTAATTTTGAATGTCATTGTAATAGTTTTTTGCTTCAACATCATTTGAATTGTTTATTAACAAAAAATAAGATTTGTAGTTGATTAATTGTTTCCGATACTTAACAACTTATCATCCAATTAATTTCAATCTCAATTTGTAGGTTTTGATTAATTTGCTTTTTCGTCATGTTAACAATTAACAAAGTGTGACAATTTATTAATTGTTGATCTGTGATTTTATTTTGTACTTTTAATTGGAAAGTAAAAAATTTCCGTGTTTTCCAATAATCCGATTTGTCTTTTACTTAATTCACTTAATCTGATAATTAATTCAATGTTTTTACCATGAAAATGATTTTGATCAGTTTGAAAAACTATTTCATTGATTAACTTGATCATTTGTATCTCTGTGCTCATCATTATTACAAAACTTGATAACAATTTGTTGATCAAGGTAGTTTAATTTAAATCCTTGCCATTTACCTGTGATTTAAATTGGGTCAAGATTTTGATTATATTTGATCAACTGTTACCATTGACTTTCACCAATTGATTGAAATTTATGACTTTTTTTGATTGTTTGTCTTAAGTTTCAACAATTTACTTAAATCATTTACTATTAAACAAATCTACCTAATATTGATTAACTTATTGAAGTTGATTGTATCCAACTGATTAGTTAATTGGGGAAGAAAAATATTTGGATGAGACTCTTAATTGTTGTTATCATAATATGATGATGACGATGATTATGTGATTGTTGAGACAATTTATGTAACAATTAGATTACGTTTTCAAGGATAGAGAGAGAGAGATGATGATGATGGAAAACAAAAAGTTTAAGTGATTAAGAACGAAATTACAATTGATCACTTTGATTGATTGTTAACTGATTACAATGGATAAGTAATTTGCAAACGCAATTTGCTAATTGTTGCCATGATTTTTGAACGATAAATTTATCATTAAAATCTAAGGTATATCCATGATTTTTTTACCTTCAATTGTTTCATATTGGATGATTGATTATAATCAATAATCAACTGATTATAAACTTTGAATCTTAAGACGAAAAATAAAGTTATTACTAAATTAACGATATAATAATCATAATTATCAATATCAAATGTTTCCCATTTCAAGTGGTCTTCGTCATTAAGATAAAACCATGATGACGGTGATACTAATGAATTAACCAATTGAACTTGATCTTTGCACTAACTTTGTGATTTTTTAATTGATTGACCTTTTTTTCTGAAACTTTTTCAGGATGTAATCATAACGAGTGGCTGTTCTCATGCACTGGAAATGGCCATCAATGTCCTCGCCGAACCAGGTAAAAACATCTTACTCCCAAGACCAGGTTTCCCTTTATATCAAACCCTTTGCGGTGGCCTGGGCATTGGAATGAAATTTTATAACCTAAATGCTGAAAACGATTGGGAAATTGATTTGGATCATTTGGAATCACAGATTGACCCATCAACCGTTGCAATAGTTTACAATAATCCCTCTAATCCATGTGGATCGGTTTACCCATCAAATCATATAAGAAGTTTCCTAAAAATCTGTGAGAAATACAAGATTCCCGTTATTGCCGATGAAATTTACGAGCATCTAGTTTTTCCTGGACACAAATTCATCCCTTTAGCATCACTCACTCAAGAAGTTCCTATCTTATCATGCAGAGGGACAACAAAAAGGTAAGACACCAAAAAAAGTTCCATAGTAACATTAGGATCCAATAGATGGACCCACTCAACTGTTAATTGTGATTATTGCAACATAACAATTTACTAATGAAATTCAGATGATCAGCTGATATTTTTTGCACCTCTTTCAGTATTAATTGATTGTTGCAATACCAAATCACGAGTAAAAACTTGAAATTTAATCACGGGAATCTCAATTTTTGTTTACTCATTCACTTAACTTTTCGTTGTTATATTTTTTTTGATACAATTTACTAATCTGATTACATGGGGATAAGAATCAACCTCATCTTGATTATCTCACCTAATTAATTTATGATGATTGATCCCAAAAGTATTAGATTTTCATGTGAGATAAAAAAATCATGAATACTATTTAATAAACTATTAAGATAATGATGGTAATCATAATTCAATAAGTGATTAAAAAGTTAATCGAAAATGACAAGAACTTTTTTTCCAAATTTTCTCCCCATGGAGATTCAGATGAAACTCATGGTATTTTTTTTCAAATCTTTTGTTTTTCTAATTTCGTTTCTTCTCTCTCTCTCTCTCTATTTGTATAATGTTTCTAGATTCATGGTTCCTGGTTATCGTTGTGGTTGGATAATCATTCACGATAAACAAGAACGATTTGGAAATTCTGTAAGTGAATGAATAACATTTGAAAAGGAAAACTGAAGAAGCATAAAACTTTTAAATTGTCTGTCTCATGAAGAAGAAAAATTTGCATGAAAATACAACATCCAAAATAGATACAATGTATTCCCTTGTTGATGATCAAATTAATTGAAAGCAAAAAACAATTTCCACTCTTTTAATCTACAGATTCGAAAGGGATTGAACAATCTAACTCATCGGATTGTTGGTGCAAATTCAATTGTTCAAGGAGCTTTACCCAAGATACTCAGAGACACTCCTGCCAGTTTCTTTGAAGATTGTATATCCTTAATCCAAGCCAATGCTAAAATATGTTTCTCAATAGTCTCCCGAATCCCTGGATTAACCCCAATCATGCCCGCCGGTGCCATGTACATAATGGTTAGTAATCGATCTTTTTGTCCTTTTTCATTCAATCGTCATACTGCTTACACTTTAAGTTTCTATGTGTGCGTGTGTGTATGTTCTGTGTGCTGATCTTTTTGTCTCTCTGTGTGTGAGTGTAATTGTTTTAAGTTTATAATTAAAATTCCCTTTGCACGAAAAAAATAATTAGATTGGATTAGATATAAACTATTTTCCTGGTATCACTAGTGACCTACATTTTGTTGAACGTTTGATGTCCGAGGAATCGATATTTGTCCTGCCTGGTAAAATTTTCGGTGTAAATGGTTATGTTCGAGTTGTTCTAACTGTACCAACGGATCTTGTTATCGAAGCCTGTACTCGATTAGAAAGTTTTTGCCTTCGAAATGCTGTTTTACCAACACTAAAGCACCAAAACAACATAAACACAGCAAACAACAACAACAACAACAATAATAATAATAATCTTAACAACAATCAACAACCACAAATAACAACAACAACACCACAACCACCAACACAAACCACTCTGACAACTAAAACATTACCAAATATCCAATTGAATCTCAGAGAGTCGGTAAAAGTAGATTAACTAATTGTGTTATTTTCATCAAGCATCCATCCAAATCCTCTTTATAATAAAAAAGCGCAATACTAAATTTAACCTTTGACCTTGACCCAGCAATTACAATAGCGACACGGAAGGTCAAACAAAAATTTTAACTTAATTGTATCACTTACCTTTTTTTTCAAAACTTGTAAATTGAATCAATTGAAATGTTAACCTTACGGTTTAATTACCTTATTATTTTCTGTGGGTTCAAAGGGATTTTTTTTAAATCAGAAAATATTTTATCATGTAAATCAGTTTCTAGTTTAAATTATCTTGTTGATAATTACTATTTTATGATAAAGATCGAGATTCTAAATGAATGATCAACTTATGTATGTTAATCATTAAACTGAATTGATGTTTTAATTGTTGAATGAATAAAAAATTCTCAAATTATATAATCAATACCCTTTTACTTTCATGATTTTGAAATGTTCAAAACTCTGATTTTATTTATTTTTTACTTGATTGTTATTTCCTGTCAATAGGAAACTCGGGGCAACAAATAAATTACAACTCAATTTACCCACTAATCAGTTGATTTCTGATCATGTTAACCAAATTTTCATTTCTAACATCCTGCTGAAGATATTCAACTTTTCACTATTCACCCTCGGGGTATTTATCATCACTTTTGAACCAATTTACTCTTACAGTTGAACAAGGTTAATGTGAGAATTATCTACATGAACAAAATTCATGTTCACCAGAATTCATGTATTAAATTTTGAATATCATCTCGCAATAACATCTCACTTGTAGTACCATGAAATTTGATCAGAATTGGAAATAATCATGAAAATGTTGAAATGTTTTTCTTCACAATGAAAAGTAGGAAAAAGTTTCTTTTTTATTTCATCTCAAGGCAACAGTTATAATCATCTATTAGGTGTTATATTAACAGTAACAATTAACACAATTAACAACCAGCAAGAGGAAAAAAAATACAATTAACAGTTAATCATGAATATCCTTAGTGTAAGGCTGGATTTATATGAATATCAAATCGTTGATTGTGATGATTAATTAAACATTGCTCATGTAAGGCATTGTCATCATTTCAATTGCTGGTTCCGCTGAGATTATCTGTTGATGATGGATGAGAAAAAAAATTGTAATTAGAGTTTAAATCACCCAAGTGATTAGAATTGAAAGTAATTAAATTATCACAGGAATTAGATGAAACTGATTTTGGTGAATCACCAAACCCATTGAGAGTAACAATCAACAAACTAGTAATCAACTCAACTTGAAACCAAAGGTTAAATTCATGTCATGAAAATTGGAGTCATTTTCATCTTTCCCCTTGGATTTCAAAGAGGAAGATATCCAATGACCATTGTCCACTATTGTCCAGCTGACAATTTAATATACTATCAACTTGAAGATAATATTTCATCTTCAATTGAGTCAATTCAAAAGATCATTTTTTTTCTTCATCTTCTTCATCTTCTTCAATTCAATCAATTTAAGATTAAATTTTGTGAATAACATTTATTATCAATTGAAATGACGATCATGATCACCATGAAAATAAACTTCATGTTGATACAAATTATCATTAATCTAATACAAGTTCAAATATATATTATCATGAAGATGATAATCTTAATCAAAATAACATAAATATTGATACAATTAACTCAGAACAAAAACTTAGTATCGACAATAACAATCAGAGGACAAGGAATAAAAATAAAAATATCACCGAAAAGTTATCATTAGATGTATATTTATATTCATCTTCATCTTTCAGAACTTTTTTACTTATGCAAGAGTGAATGAGGATAACCATGATGATAATAGAGAGAGAGAAAGACCTTTCATCATCAGTCATCCAATGAATAGACTCAGATGATGAACTTACTAAGATTAATGTTACACCAAATCTATTGACTGATTCACAATTCTGAGAATCAGAAGATGATATCAAACATTAATATCATCTCAACACCAGTTATCATTATTATCAACATTGATAATATTATCATCTTTATCATGTACGAGTTAACATAACCTTCAATGGATCAACTTTTTTTTTCTAGTTGTTAAATGTTAACCAGAATCATGATGATGAAAAAATCACCAGGAATCATTTCCAGTTTTTTTTCCCGTTACTATTTTGCTTCATTTCATCACAACTATTATATTATCATCATCATCACCTTATCATATCAAACTCAATGAAATAACCTGATAATCATTTAATATATTAACTCACTCACTTATCATCTCTCATCATCATCGTTTTTATTTTTCTCTCCTACTCTTTGTCATCATCTTTATCCTGTGTTTACCTTGAAGATATTTATTATTTTTTCATCTCATTTTTCATCACAATCAAGATAATTTGATAATTCTCAAAGGATCATTTCATGTTAATCATTACCTGGTGTTAGAAATTGATAATCATCATCATTATCATCATGAGGAAGTGAAGGTGGATCATGATAAATATTTTGTTACTTTTTTTTACAGGTAAATAACTCATGTTGATCATCAGTATGATGATAATGATGTTGTTTACCAATTTCTGTGATACTTTTATCTTCTGGCAATTAACCATTGATTGTACAATCAAACTGACAATCAAAACAAATTATCTTCAATTATAATCCATTGATTTTGAACAATAAACACACACAACAACTACAATTAAGTAAACATTATTCACTAATCAACTGATTTTTATATATTATTAATAATATGATACATTGAAAGCTGAAACTTAGGGAAAAAGAAATGATAACATTTTCAAAATCGATTAGAAATAAATATTTATTTCATCTTATTAGAAGTTAACTGTAACTGAATTAATCTTTCATCATGATAAGATGCTGAACCGATGAAGATAAAGTTCTCATGTTGGGTTTATCTTACCATCGATCCAATCAGACCATTTACCTGAGTGGGTAATGTTATTATCCCCATCGGATCCTTCAATTATCATTATTAATTTAATCTTAATCTTTTCAAGGTTTTTCATTGCAATTTTCTCATTGATTTAATCATAGAAAGTGAAAAATTACTAATCCCTATCTCATTGGAGAACGATGGATTTTCATGATAAAGTTGAGAACTTTTTTTCTGAGGTTGAAAAAAAGAATCGGTTTCCCTTTATTTCCTTAGTGTTTTCCTCTCATCACCGAGATAATCATCATATTTTCTTGATACAATTGATGTTAAACGGAAGTGTAACTACAATCATATATCATGAAGAAGAAGAAGCAAAAAAACATCTACAACGTTAAGGTTCATTGAACGGAAGCGGAAAAGAGGAGAGGATCAGAATGAAGCAAAAGTTTTATCGTCTTCAAGTTTTTTCAAGCATCTTCACAATGAGATAATTTGAACTGGGGGAAAGTGAGATGATGAGAAAATTGTTGATAATGATTTTGATAATAATACTAATGTTAATTATGATGGTGATGATGATGATGAGGATGATTGTTATCCTGAATCCAGATGAAGATTTGTTGTCGCTTTTTCAGAGCCGTAATGAACTTGTCCTGAATTCTCAATGAAAAAAAAAAGTAAATTCTTGAAGATAAGTGATGATCATGATGATACAACTACACATACAAGAAGATGAGGGATAAAAGTAGAGAAAAAAAGAGATGATTGAAAACAAAGAGACAAGAGAGAAAAGGTGATGATAATAATGAAGAAAATGATGATGAGAGAGAAGCAGAGATGATAAGTTTGTCTTCTTTCACCAAGAGAAGACGTGAAGTGAATTCATGATGATTTAACAACCTGAAGAAAACATAAACTATTTCTTTCATTTTTTTCGGTGCTAATTCATTTCTTTTTTTTTACCTTCTTATTGATGGAAATACAAACAAACTGTTCCATGAAGATAAATTTCTTCAGAATAATCAACATGTTCAATATACTCTATTTTCATCATGTCTTGAGCGAAAATTGAGAAAAAAATTCATCATATTTACACGTTAATCAATTCTCACTTGACATTTGCTACTTTATCAGGTTTTCTATCGATTCAGTTGAACAAATTTACAGAATAAAAAGAAAACAATAACATGAGTTAATAATCTAAATCTTCAAGGTAATGCAAAGTGTGGAGGAGTTTGAGAGAGTAAGAATGAAATTCAAAATCAAATGGAATATAAGTCATGATAATACTAAATGAAGAATCGAAAGTTTCGATCTAAACTTGATCGTGGTGAACGAAATCGTGAAGAACAATTTCTTAATATTAAAAAGTGAACAAACAATACAATAAGATTTTTATTAGTTTTATTAGAGACAAAAAATCAAAGAAAAATGATCTTGTCGACTAGATAAGTTTATAAGAATTACGGTCGAAAGGATTGACATAAACTAATTAAAACTCGAGTTACTATTACTATGAGGAAAAATATTCTCAACGATAAAAAAGACTATTGATACAGATGAGACTTAATTAAAATCCAACTATCCTAATTGATAAGTAAATTAACAAACGATCACAAGTTAATTTTTCATTCGAATTGATTTACTTATTTTCACAGGTGAATACAATTTCCTTGTTGTTTAGAGCATAATCTACGTGGATAGTTTTCGACGTTTGATATAAAAAGGATGAGCTTTAAACGACTCGTAATCATTTCCATTAATTATTTCAATCATTCGTTTTAGAATCAAACCAATTTTTTCAATTTGGTTTACCTGTTCAACAACAATCAAAATTTCTTTTAAACTCTTTACGTTTGGATAAAGTTATTATTCTTGCTTATCAATAACAAATCATGAAAATGAATTTCCAGTTTCTCCAAACTTTTGTATTAACAGTTCTGTCATCATTCATTGGAATATCTGTACGTGCCGTTCAAATTGCTCATCCTTTAACAATTCGCAGTCTTTCGAGAACACAACGGCAATTAATTCCGGGTAGTCCAGGAAGCACACCAGGAGCAGTGACTGATGCTAATGGTGTTGTGCTTTACCCAATAGTCCCTGTTACTCCTCCTAATATTCCCCTTTCATCCAAATGATATTCAACATGAAAAACTCATCAGATGATGTGAAATAATAGTAATATGTACTTCTATTAATAATAATAATTCTACTCTATTAGTTTTATAACATTTATCATTATTTCCAATACTCTCTATGCAATTTATCGCGACTTTTTCCTTTTCATTTCTCACCTTTCTTCTCTTTCGTTCTGAAAGGAGGATGGTCGCCGAAATTTAGTTTTGAGTTAAGAGTTGAAACTTTTTGTATTTGTAGGGCCACAAATATGAAGTCCAAATATATTTATTTTTTCTGATCTGATCAGTAGTTTTCGAGAAAATCGAGTTCGAAGTTAAAACTTCAGGTCACTTTTTCTCAGCAACGATGAGTTTTTAGATCGTGAAATTTTTATTTTATCGACAACTTTTGTTTTGGTAAAAAAATATCCAAAGTGCTCCGGCCACAATTCCGTTGTATTTAAATAAATGGACGGAGATTAGTCCCAAGTATCGAGAATGATCTGAAACTTATTTTTGAGACTATCCTAGTATGGTCTAACATCGTGGATCGAGCACTTTTTTCATTTGATCAATAGTTTTACCGGAATGAGAGAGTGGCCTTTGATTTTCAAGGGCTAATATCTCCGAAACTAAAATACTTGGAGATGTCTAAATAAGTCAAATCGCCGTCATTCAACCAAGACTATCAGATGGGATAGCTTTTTGGCCTTAAAATACAGTCACTTTTGCTATAAATAGTTCGACAATGTTTGATGAAATAATATTTCATTCGAGCAAGCATAAAAACATTTGGATGTTCATAACTTGAGTTTAGTATAACTTTTAATTAACTTTAGTTTCAGCTAGACCATCACTTTTTAAGGCTTTTAAAATCTTTTGATAAGAGCTCAGTTATTGAGAATTATCTTCATAAAAATTCATAAAAATCTCGCGTCATGTTTTTTGAATTCATGCCTACTGTTATTCAGCTACTTGAGATATTTTTCAATATAAAAATTTGAAATTTTTTTCTTCATTTCCGTTTGGTTTTTCCTTCCGAGAGACTTTGTATGTTTATACTTTTATTGGATAACCTCAAGATGAGAAAGTTTTTGATACTCTGCTCATTACTTCATCTTCATCACCGTCACACCATTGAGTCATTTTCTAGGGTAAAAGAGAAAAGAGAATCAAATCATTGGAACCATATTGAATCTTCTCATGAGGTCGCGTGCTAATGGTGTTCAGGTTTTCGTTTAGATTCTACTTGTATTTATTGAGCATCTTCAGAAAATAACATGATGCCGGAAATAAAGATAAGTCAGAACGGTGAGTACATGGCAACACGAAAAGGTAAAGTTTCAACTCTCATTACTTCCCGAAGGAGAGAGAGAAATAAAATAAGACTAGAGAAAAATTCTAAAACTCTTAATGGATCATAAAGATGCTTTTTCTTTAATGGGAAATCATATATTTAACCCAAACATCTAAGAATGATAATTTTAGTAGCCTGACCTCTCATCTATTCAATCATCACCTCACAAATATTATTTGTCTTATCAATAAAAATCACCAGCATCAGCATAGATATTCACATGGTAATACTATTTATGACCAATGGTCATTAGTAAACTGTTCATGTCGTAGATTCTGATCTTTGGTCGATTTCGTAGAAGGGAAAAAAGTGATAGGAAAGAAAAATTATTCCAATATCATATTTCTAACGTTTTCTCTTCCTTTTTCCGGTTCAATGAATTCTCAGAATTGGAATCAGATGAAACATGATGAAAAAAAGTACAACATTGAGAAAACATGATGAACAGTAAAAACAGATAATCAATTATTACCATTATCAGACAAATGTTCAGGATCCATTGAGTAACATTAAATATCATTTTCTCAGCAATAATAATATCTGCCAGTTAATTGTTACAATAAATAATCACAATCAAAAACCAAAATCAAAGGTAAAAAAAGTGTTACTATTAATATTTTCATGTAACTCTATCAATGTGTCAAACATTACAGACCAAGTTACAATACTAACTGACCAGAGTCCATTCAGCTATATGCATGTAATAGATTCTGTCAATGAAGATCAAATAAAAAAAGAAGCAAATAATCTCGAACTTGAAAGATTAGAACTTTTCTTTGCCTTAACTGTATTAAAGTCCTTTGGTCACTTGACTTTTTTTCGCTGGAAATTGAATTACAATCACTTTCAACTAAATAATAAACTGGTTAATTTAATCTAGAGGAAATAATTTCTTCACAATCAGTGTAAAAAACGATCAAAGATAAACAACATTTTCTTTGGACACTTGACCAGCATTAAAAGCAGAAAATTCAACTCACAAATTTGATATTGATTTCAAAACTTATATATATCAAAGTGATTATATCGAAACTTAAAAACACTTATCGTTATCATTATATCGTTCTAGAAATTATCACAGTCTCAATTCACCATGAGAAGAAAAAAAATGAAATAGAAAACAATTGGATAACAATTCTACCAACTTTTTTTCCTCAAAATACTTAATAAAATGAATCATTTTCATTTGGATGGACAATAAAAACTGACCAATGGTATAACGATAATCGTAATAAATTGTTTATATTAATTCATAACTTATTGTTATCTTCATCAAGAATTACTAGAATAGTATGTTACTTATGTGTCCAGAAGATTGACCAGGAAAGAAAATGACAGAGAAAATCGGGATTGAATCATAACTTTGAAACTTTTTTTTCGTTCCATGATATTCATTGTAATTAATTGTTCTGGAAAAAATAATAATAAATAAATTGAAAATATTTTTCAACTATTGGTTAAATTGTAAGTTGGGTAAATAATTGTTTTCACCATGAATGTCAACAATGAAAAATAATCCGGTTTCAGTATATTTATCATAATGTTCAATCTATTCATCATCATCATCATGGTATAAATTCATGATGAATGCCTACTAGACAAGAAACAAGAGGAAAACATGAGAACATGATAAATTCATTTCATCATAATTTTGCCCCTTTTTGTTGAATTAGAAACAAAAAAAAAGTTTGTTGCGAAATTTGAAAAAGTAACAAAAGCAAAAAAGTTCACGATAATCTGAATTCTATTAATGATTCATGTTAATCCTTGGAAATTTTGTTTCAGGGAGAGAAAAGTTTATGATTAGAAACCAAGTTGAAATTCATATTAAGAAAATATTATGAAATGGTAAGGAATAAAAAAGCATTCACTTTGGATGAACTTTATTCACTTTAATGTGAACCAAATTTCATGAAATTTTCAGAATTTTTCAAATTTTTTTCTTCACTCTTTTCTATTCAACTTAACCAACAAAAGATAATCTTCTTATTCATCAGATAGAGAAATGAATTTAGTTGTTCAATATACATGTAATGATATAATCATGTGATAACTGTCACCAGGTAAATTTGTATCATTGAGATTATCAGTTTGCATCAATGAATTAATTTCAATCGTAATTTGAATAAAACTTAAGCAGGTAAAACTGATCATAATTGATAATTCAAGTCGCTTGAGATTTCAAATTTCTCATCCAAAGTTGTTGATATTATTACAAGAGGTAAATATTAATGTTATATTTATATCTGAAGTCATCGTTGGTGAAAAGTGATAATATTTCATCAGATATTATTGTGATAGTCTATGTTTACATGGCCTACAATCAGAATAACAAGAAGCTTTTTGTGAACATGATGTTTCCCATGGTAAGAATGATAAATGTTCAGAATATTGAGTTGAAAGAAAATCATTTCAAACAAAAATTCAAGAAGTTGATCTTAATTGATGTAAATTCGTGTAAATTTAGATAATATTGGCTCTCAGTGCGATTTCAACTGAATGAAAGTTTCCTGAGGAGCAATTCAGTTACATCTTTTTCCACCAAGAACTAGTTGATTTCTTTGATAAAATTCTGATCAATTGACTTAGTAGTATGGAATGATTAATGCAAATCGTTAATAAATGAACTGAAATGATGAAATTCTGGTAAAATTTTAAAAATAATGTTTAATTAATTCTTGATGAGACTCTTGATTGTTCTGTGAAATTAGTCGATGATAATTGAACCTCCATTTGCATCTTGACAGTAGACTAGAAGATTTAATTTTTTCAAGTGTATATTCATAGTGAATCATGATGATCATCATGAAGATAAACTACTAATATAATAATCTAATCAACGAAATATTTTGAAATGAATCTTCTTCAAAGTGTAATCTTTATTTAGATTCAGTTGAGATTGAATCATCTTGGCTCAGTCATAATTAATCAATTGATTAGTATCATTAGAAAAAAAGCTGAAAGATACTCAAAGAGTAAACTATTTCATGAGATAGTCTTCCATGAGTCTTCATAATGGATAAGTAATTATATCTCATCAAAATTCAATTTCATTACATATAAATCAAAGATGAGATATTGACTTCACTTACAAGTGAAATAAATACAAACTTATATTTATGTAATCAGATTAAAGCGATAGTCAGAAAGTGATATTGATTCATTTCTGAACAATATTTCATCCAGAATCCATGTTAACTATGTTTGCCTTTTATTATGAGAACTCAGTTATTATCATAATTGCTTATTAACTATCATCCTCATCATCATGATGAATGTAATGATTTTTTTATGGTTGAATATATAATTAGCTTAGGAAAACAATTAGCTTTCATGAATTAAGATGGAAACATAATAACAAAATAATATTAACCTCAAGGTGAAGATATTGAAGATGATCAGAAAAAGTGGAAAATATCAATATCATATTCATGGAATAAGATATTTCAACATTTCCCTTGGATTTTGGGTGAGGAAATCTCTCTCTCATTTGCTCACTGAGATCATTACCTCGATCTTTACATGAATTATTATTACACTGAACTTTCATGATATACATTATTGGGAAAATGAATATTTATAAACATATATTGGAAAAACAAAAATGACCCCAGGGCATGAAAAAATAATATTAATGCATTCAATCAATTTCCTGATATCTAAATAACATTAAAGGTCTACAAGGCAAAACTGTTGATGAAAATGTTTATCCATTTCTCCAAATATATATTACCATGAATGCATTTTAATAGCAGTTATCATGTTATCTCATCATGATCATCATCTTAATGATGTCATTTGGAATGTTTTTATGCAGAGAAAAAAAAGTTCATCTAAAATTGGCAAGTTGGATGATGGAGATGATAATATCTTCTTAAAAGATTGATAATCGATCAGGATGAAAATTGGAGAGAGAGAGAGAAGAAGAAGAAGAAGCTGATTAAAACCAGTTAGCCTCGAAATAGTTTATCTCATGAAGATGAAGAGCAAGAAAAAAAAGTTCTGAATAATGATGACCTTTTTTCTTCATGAACTCAAGGTCAATTTTATTATCACTTTTTTCTCACATCATGAAAACCTTTTTCATTGCATTTACTCCGATAATGATGTGGTGAAAGTGATCGTAAAGGCCATAGAGATGAATAAACAGTCTTGGGGGAGGAAAAAGACATTGATGCATAAAATAAGGTTACTTCACTTTCTCCACCTTCACCTTTATCTTTTCATCATCCTCATCATCTCTATCATCAAGGTAATCACCAGTATCATCATCATCATCACTCACAGAGACCCTTTTGATCCATTAGATAAAAAGGTAAAGATCGAAGGTAATAACAAGGAGACAAAATAAGTTCCAAGGTAGAGAAAAAAATTTTTCTGATCAGATGATTCTCTCTTTTTTTTCCTCTGTGGAGTTTTTTTTATTTCTATTCCTACTAAAATTCTGCTAACTACAAGCTCACTGAGTTTCTTTTAGAACTCTGAACTTTATTTGCCTTCATTTTTTTTACTCCATCATGTTGCTTGAATATTTAATATTTTCCATCATGATTATGAGAGAAGAAGAGGAATCATGATAATTCTTATCCTTTCACTCTTTTTTGACAGAAAGATGAAGATATGAAAAGTGAAAACTCACCAGGAATCACAACTTAAGTCATTCTCATGCTTTACCAATGGAAATTGTGAATAAAGTTCTGAGTAAAAGAAAGTAAATTCTTTCAACTTTTCCCTTTTCTTTTTATCTTCTCTTTATATCATTTACAAAGCAATACAATTGTAAATCGTCCATGAGAATCATCTTTGAGATCATGAATGAATTGAATATAATCATGAGAAGACTGAAACCAGGTCAAGAATTTCTCACTCTTTCACCGATAATTCAATAAGAAATTTTCTTTGACAATCTGATGGTGAAAAAAAAGTGAATAGGAAAAAAAATGTAATGAACATGATGATATTTCTGTCAACAATTATTAAGTAATGAAACGTGTTAGTCATCATCTTCATCTATTAAGTTCATGATGATAAAATGAATAATATAAAAGCATCATGATGACTATCGGTTAAAATGAGAGAGCAAGAAGAAAAAAACTCTTGAGAAATGAATGAAGATAAAAAAAGTTCTGACTCAGTAACCTCTTCTGATGAGTTTCATTATCAACAAGTTGGGTTAATACAGTGATAACAATCATCATCAAGGATTGTACTCAAAAGTTCCTGGAATATCATGGAAAAGTATCAATATGAAAAGATGAACAAAAGTGCAATTACTTACTGAATTATATGGAATCCTTTTCAGCGGAATCGCCATTGAATCACCTTCTTTACAGGAGATATAAATTGCTCGGCGGTCATTCTTACTTTCGAGATTGGCCCAGAATGTTTCAGTCTCGAAATCTGAACATTTCAGTTGTTCACCAATATAACGATCATGGAAAAGATGTTTAAGAGATTAAAGAAAAAGAAAAGCAATATTAGTTAAAAAGAAAATGATTTTTGTTTCCAAATAAAGAAAAGTAAATGAAAATTTTGCCGCAAGAGAAAATAAATAGACTCAGAGAATCAGAACTTTTTCTTGATCAAAATCAGAATTATTATCATCGGATTGAAACCAATCTACTTATATATTAATATATAAACAAGTCTCTAAATTAGAACAGAGAATGAACATTTTGATGAAATAAAAGAGAAGATGATTGAATTAGGTTATATTCCAAATGGGAGATGATGACGAGCAGAAGAAAATGATCAGGAAAAAGTTCTATGTATTGTTAGGGAATATTATCTGAGAAAATTTGAACAAATAGAAATATATTTTCATCATGAAAGATGAGACAAAAGAAGTTGAAAGTTCTTGAAACTCAGAGAGAAAATCTAATGTAAACAAGATTGCGATGAGGAACTTTGTCTACAACCAGAGAGAGAGAGAGAGAGAGAGAGAGAGAGAGAGAGAGAGAGAGAGAGAGAGAGAGAGAGAGAGATGAGTATCACCATGAGAGCTTGAAAGTAGTAAATAAGACCAATGAAAGAATTGAAGTTAAATTGAAACTATTTTAAAGCTAAAATTCACAAGATGATGAAGATAATCTTCAAGATGAAATGGAAAGTCAAAACAATGGATAAGATATCAAGGGATTTCAAGAGGAGTTCATGAAAATAAAGGTAAGCAAAGATTCAGTTTTGTCGTGTACATGGATGAAACTATTGTCATCATCAGAATCATGAGCATCATCTTAAGTGTATTTTCAGAGGCAAAAAATGTCAATATATTGTTTTATTTTACCTAAAGAATAATATTGTTATCTATTGACATTATTATCTACGAAGATTGTGTAATAAAGTTGCATGGTTGAGGATTCTAAGGGTGGGAGGTGAATGGAAATACTTGCAATGCAAAAATAAATAGGATCATCAGAGAGTGAGAGGAATAAGCATTTGTTGATATTTATTATTGTAACTATTTCATGGTAGATTTATCTGATTAGTGAATTCTGTATTCAGATAGTTTTCCATCATCATGATAATTTTGAATCATCATCATAATGGGAAAACCAAAGGAATCAAATTGCTTTTTTATTATTTGCCAAAGTGAAAGTAAAAATAATTGCAATGAGAAAAACAAAACAGTGATTGACAATCAATCAAACTGAATTAATGTTGACATTGATGGCATGAATCTTCATGATGGTGGTAAACAAAATTCAAGGAGATAAATGAATGATTCTGGTAAATTCAACTCTCTTTCTCTCTCTCTTTCTCCTTCATCTTTCACCAATTTGATCTTCATCTTAACAAAGGTATTTGATAAATCAAAGTGCAATGATAATATAATTTAATATTATTATTAAATCATCTCACAGCTCATGAAGTGAGAATAAGAGTGAGAGAGTGAAAGTGAATTAGAAAAGAGAGAGAAAAAATCATGAATGAAAAAATTCTTGGAACAATTTTTTTCCTTTTTACATCATCTATTACCTATTAATAGCAGAGAGTATACTTGCTATTATATTCAGCATGATAATCATGATGGAATGGTAGTACAACAGATTATTCAATTAGGGATGAAGAGGAAATCAATTTTAATTTTAAATCAGGTAAATACTTTGGAATAGGTTGTCATGGTGATGGGGAGAATTCAGGATGAAGATGAAAATCTATGGATGGATAGATGGCGAAATTGATCATCAACATCCAAAGAAGATGATTAAGGCAAAGTGTATTTACTTTTTTTTGTTTTCCATGAAATTCAAGCTTAAAACACTTTTCTATTCACTCTACTACATGATGATCATCATCATTATCTTGCTGAAAATCATGAGAAGCAAGATGATGAAAAGTTAAGCCTCAAAATGGGCAGATGATGATAATGATGATCATTTTCAAGCCATTCACACTCTTGGTACATTTGCTCGGCTCCTGATTTCATAAGGCTGTCAAAATGATAATATATTTAAATGATACTTGATAATGTACAATAAAACATACACACACACATAACCTGAAAACTGAACGGGAAGAGATGAAGGTGATAACATAACTGAAGGGGTGAAAGGTAAAGGGTGGTTTTGCCTGGTATAGTGAAAGGGTTGAAAGTGGGTTGGCTGTTTTCTCCCCATGCATTTGCATTCGTAGCTGTAAAAAAAGCATAATAGCAACAATAAAAGTGACACAAAGCATCAGCACATTATCATCACTCTTTCAGCTGCCTGAATATCAATGAAATATATATTAAACATCATGGAACATGTATCATGATATCATAATGTTCAGAAATGAATGTAAAAAGATGGAGATTCAAGCAGAGAATTGAACTTTTTTCTTCTTCTTCTTTCTTTAAATGATGATGAAGATGAAGATGAGGATGTAACAAAGTACATTCTTGCAAGTCAAAAGGTTATGGATATCATGATATTGTAATATATTAAATATAATGTAATATCTTTATGGTTTTGATTTAATAATAATGGTGGTGAAAGATGATGCATAAGAAACAAAAGGAAACTCAAACTGAGACTCATGATGATGATGATAATTCTGATAATAAGACAGAAAAGAGTAAGTGAAGACACTAAATGGACCCAAACTTTAGCTAACTAACGAGTTCGAAGATACAACTAAGGAAATGTACAGAGAAAGTCTAATCTATAAGAACATGTTTTTTACCAAAGAAAAAAAAACCAAGAGATTAACATGATATTAGATCATTATTATGATTACGTCGATTTAATAATCGACTAATACTAACCTATGCTTGTTCGTGGTAATGGGATAATGTCCGGACTTTTGGCTTCGAGATTCAATTGAGAGGGTGAACGTTTGCTAAAGGATAGAATTGGAATGAGAATTTAGATAATTACAAGATTAAGATTGTATTATTATGATGAGAAATCAAAGGCGTTTGTAGGTCAATATTTTTGTTCTAGTCGAGTGTTTTTGTGTTCTACCAATCGTTTGATCTGTTTATATCTTTTTCTTTGGGGAAAAATTTCGCATCCTAATGGCATTTGTTGTTTACTTACAATGAAGGGGAATATGTATTAATATCCATTTCTGGTTTGGGTAATAATTTGGTTGATCTTGATCGTCTTTTCAATATTATCACAATCAATAAGCTTGAAATGATGACCAGGACAAAGGTAATAGTGACCATGGAGGATGAGGACATTGTACTATTATTTTTTGATCCTTTTTCTTTCAAGTATTTGGTCGTTATCATGATAACCATAAACAGGCAATAAGTAAAAACATCAAATGATAATGATGATTATGAGAGACAAGCGATTAAACGTTGTGATGAAATGTGATCCAGGAAGAGAAAAGAAAGAAAGAGAAAGATGGAGATAATAAATAAGAAAAAGTTTCATGACATTCTTTCATCTTCTATCAGATGAAAGTAAATTTAATCCAAAAGGATGTGTAAAAAGGGTGCAAGAGGAAAAGGAAAGGATGATGATGAACCGGAAGAAGATGGTTAGCAAAGTGAAAGAAAAGGAGGGAAGATGATGAGTTAAGGTGATGATAATGATGATGATGAGTCGAGTAAGGAAAAGGTCAGAATAAAAAGGGAAATGATTGGGAAAACAGAGAGAAAGACTGAGAAAATGATTAAGGGAAATGAAAACGATGATATAACTGAAGATGATAAAGAATCAAGCCTAAAGCTGATCACCTTCATCACCATTATGATGATCATCATGAGAAAATGAAGACATTATTAGCAACCTTTCTCACTCTATTAGGTTTTCTGTTATTCTCAATCATCTCTTTCACTTTAACAAAGATTGAGCTCTGATGATGTTACCTCATCATCAACAAGGACACGTTGATGATGATACTGATGATGATTCTGTTGTCTTGCTGTTTATTTGTCAAGTTACGTTGTTATTATTATGTTTACTATTACAAAATAAATGAAGTTATCTGTTTACTCTGAGATTTTTTCCCTCTTCCTTTGCCTGTGGTTAATATAACAATCTATACACAGAAAACATCCTCAATATCGTGAGTGGGTGGTGGTTGTGTTCGCGGGAGTGATTTAATAAAAACATGAAGATGTTCAGTTATGTGTCAGACTAGAAGATCGAGAGAAAAAAAGTATTGAAAGAGAGAAAGAAATGACCAACTAGAAAGAAAAGGTGATCCAATAGCAAAGCGAAAATATGTCAACTTAGAGAGAAGATGAAAAAAAATTCGAATATTTGTTCGTCATTACAAGTCAATCTTCGAGGATTTTGAACTTATACTTGGGTAAGAAAATATGTTCTTAAAGGCTAAACAACTCAACCTTCCATTTTCAAACCATGATTCTTATTTTCTCAGGATAAAGTCTCTTGTTTTCGAACAGATTAAAAATTATTCTTTCTGAGGAAAGAAAAAATTTCAAAAGGAAACTCTGATGGAAAATGATGTTTTCTTATAGACAGAAGAGGATATGATGAAGGAGAGATGATGAAAAGGAAGAGAAAAACATTAGAGATTTAGGACTATTGTTTCAAAGCATTTCAGCTGAAGGATTAGAAGTGTCTCTCAATGAGAATAAGTGAAAGTGAATTGGTTACTATCATCATGATCATGAGAAGATGAAAAAAAAGGAAACGAAGGAAGATGATTCAGGAAAGTACAGTTAGCAAAAGAGAGAGAGAGAGAGGAGAAATTGTGAGAGTGAATAACAAAAATTGACACGGAAAAAAGTATCCAAAGGGATAGAAAAAGGATGAGGATGCCTTGAGCTTGGAAGATGTAGGGAAATGTTGATGATGGAAAATGATGAGATAAGGGAGAGATAGAAAAAGGTTTAGGAAGAAAAGTTTCCTCTCTCTTCTTCCTGTATCATCATTATCATTCCTATGATGATACAACAAATGCATTATTGTTATTATCATTATCATTAAGCATTAGATTTAATAACAAACCTAATGGAAGTTGTTTTGTTGTTTGTTTGGTTCCTTCTAACTCGAAACTTTTACCACTTTTACCCTTTATATTGGATGAATAGACGATGAAAGTGTAAAATTCTGATGGAATCAGATTATCGATGAAAAGACAAATAGGCGTTGATGAAGATGATGAAGTTGGCGGTGAAGATGAAGATGATAATGATGAGGGAGGAGGTGAAGGAAGTAAAGTTGATAATGTTAATTCACTTGAAGTTACATTGGCTATCACATTAAAATCACTTTTGTCACCTTTGTAAACTTCAAGGTGAATCTTTTGAGTTAATCCACCATCGTAACCAGGATCACAGCAGATTTTCATGGTTGTATCATTGATCTCGTACTTTTTGCAGCGATTGGGTGAATCTGGACGATCTGATATAATTAAAGGTAAGAGAGAGGGAGAGAAACAAAATACAATTGAGTTAATTAACGTGCTAAAGATAAAAATAACACCTAATTACTGATAAATTATCCATGTTAGTTAATTATCTATCGCAATGATATTTTTAATCAATTTATTTTCACGAGATTTACAATGATAATTAATGATGCAATAAATTACTGTTCAATCAATTGCTTAAGGAAATTTCTTCAACTTGATTGATGAGTTTTAATTGTTCACTCAATTGTTAACTCGATTCTATTAATTGTTAGGCAGAATTTTATTTTTCTAATGATAAGACAATCAATTTGAGAATAACATTTCATGATGATTCTGCCTTACAGAATTGAGGACAATTTTCCAAATATAAAATGAAACTCATGAAATTATTTATATTCATCATCTTGACTATATAATTATTAACATGAAAAATGAATAAATATAACTTCATCATCTTTTATATTGAGATACAATGAATAATTAAGTTGTGAAAGTTAAACAGTTATATCAATGAATTGGTAAGTAAGTTTATGATTATTATCAACATGATGAATGAGGATTCTAATGAAATTGTATCAAAACTTGATGAAAACTTTTGATTAACTTTTATTCTGATGATCAACATAATCATTCAACTAAAGTCTCGGTTTCAGTTGACTCAAATACTGAGCAATTTAAATTAAGCATTAAATTTGATTGAGAAAGGTTATTTCATTTATTCTGTTGGTTTAATAATCAATTATCCCAATTAGTTTGTTGATTTCTGAATTATTATGGATGAAGTGAAAGGTGAACTTCAGGGTGATCAAGGTAAACACTTTAGTGAATAAACTTTATCGGCATTAGCCAATTGATTTTAACTAAAGTTATCGATTCAGAAGAAGAGACTGCCTTTCACAATTCAATCTGTTACAAATTCTTTTAGGATCTTTCCAAAATACTAATATTAATTTAACTCACAAGGTAAATTTTATTATAAACTTAAAGGTTTATTAACTGTATTAATTAAAGTTAACAGTATGAAGATTAAACGGGAATTAATTGTAAATTGATTCGATCATCTTTTATATCGAAAATCGAATAATCGAAATTTGAATTTTCTAAAGAGAACAATTAATCTGATTGGTCGATTAACCATTTGTCTAAAGACAACGATTTTCTATTGTCTCCTTAGTAGACATTAGTCTAGATTAAAATAAATATTAACCATTTTCTCAAGAGAGTTAACTTGTCAGTCAGACGATGATGATTAACATCTTTAACTTCAATTGTGAACAATAGTTAATCTTAAACAAAGTGAAAATTAAATGAGTAATTAAGTTAATTGTGAACAAAATTAATAAAACAAATAAATTTAAGCCTTGAGGTAATCCAAATATAAAGTTAAATGGTTCCAACGGGTAACTCAGTTTTCTACCCTTCACTTCCGTGGTTCTTGATTAAGACTCCTTGGTTGGACCATTTTGATTTGATCTCTTGGAATAGCTCGAGGTCGATCGGCTTGAACCGTGAAATGTAAGTCTCTTGATCTTTCTCTTGAATTATGATGATCTCTATGAACATTAACCGGAGGTAATGATGTATCCATATTCTCATCTACAAGATGAATCTCAAAAGATTGTGTTGTCTGAGGTACAGGCATTTCAGATGCGGGTTGACAACAACGATGATTGAATTGAGGTTTACCTCTTGATCTATCGGGACCATAATAAGCCCAATTGTCAGGCCATTCGGCTTCATGAGATTGAACTCTTTCAGAATAGATTTTGAATAACCTTGAGACAAATGAATTGCTACATGTTGATGTTACATTCGCATAATGTATTCCATCTCCTATTTGATCTACTTTCTCTTCGATCTCTTTCCAATAGGACATGTACAATTGCATCGCTATTATGGCCTCAACGGCAGGTGAATGAGGTCTATTTTCCACAGTATATCCTCCGAATACCAAAAAGGCAATGAGAGTTAATGAACAAGCACTTTCATTAAATGGAGAAAATATTTGTGTTATCTCTCTCATCTTTGACTTTAGCAATTCAATTTCACATGACTCAAGTCCAATTGATTTTAACATGTTAATTATTCCAGCACCAACAATTACTTTAGCACAAGCAAGATATTGGATCACCTGATCTCTTATCGATGGTAAAGTTTTACTCAATCTAATATCAGATTTCTTGAGACCATGATAATGTGAGTCCATATAGTTAATGTTATTGTGTCTAACTAGAGTTTCGTAAACTATTTGTTGAAACCCATTAACAATAACGATCCAAACTGGTCTTGGCATGAGCTTATTAGTATAACTGTTCCGTTCGATTCGGATTTCATTAACACGACAAAAGGCCATGTGAACACAGAAAGTTAACAGAGGATTAGGATGAAGCTTTGATTGTTGTTCGATCCTTGAGGAAATTGCTTCACTTAAAGGAGGAAGTTGAATCCTTGTGACACGTTGATACAATTCAGTTGCTTCTCTTTGTTTCTCATCTTTTCTTTGCTGTTTCCAATCAGACTGATGTCTTGATTTGGATGATGATGAGGTTGATGATGAAGAGGAAACTGATGATTTATCGTCGGGAACACCACGAAAACTTGGAAATTCATCACAAATTGAGGTTAACACTGAGTTTCTCTCGTTTACGTCAAGCAAGGTGAATGGATCGATCCTAATAAAGGCAAGTCCATTAGCGACATTATCTGGAGATACATTTACTTTAGTGAAACCTTTAGGTGCTCTTGGTTTTCCTTTAGCAAGTTTAGCCCATTCAGGTGAAGCTCTTATGAGATAAGCGGGTACTGTATATTTGCTTACGATTGTCGCTGGTCTTATATATTGACCTGGTTCCGCTCTTTTACCTATGACTGGGTCAAATCCAAGGTCTTGGAGATATTGTTCACCTTCATATATTGGAGCGTGTGGATCACAAACTCTTTTTAAAACTGACCAATAACATGTTCCCATGTTAGCGTAAGTTCTAATAGCGTTTGGTGTAAGTAATGGATCATTTGGTGACTTTTCTTTTATCACATCATATTGAGCCCATTTCTCATGAATTCCACCCATCTTTCTTCTTGAGAATCATAAGAAACAATTCGTTGGGTTATCGCTGTTTGTATATGAGAGGGTAAAACTGATTGTAATCGTCTTGGGGCTTTAGCCAATTCATGACGAGTTGGTCCGGGAACGAAAGTTTCACCAAGTTGGACCTCAAACTCTTCAACAAATAGTCCATATCGACATTTCATTTCGTGAGGTAGAAACTCTTTAGGAGGAAATCCTTTCTTACAGAGATTCCGTCGACAGATAAAAGTTGAACTGTTGTAAATTTGAGTCGTTTGATCTTCAGGAATTGGACCAAATTTTGGGAAATCGTCTTGAGGCGCGTATTTAACGGCACAACCGGGAATAACACACAAGAATTTATCCTCGGAATCGGGTTTAATAAGATTCAAAATCTTAATGAGATTGATGAGCCATTGAACACACGAATAACAATACCATTTGTTACACTCTAAACATTGTCTTGGGTTGAGTGAAATGTGTTCACACAATGTACATTTAATTGTGTTATGAATTCGATTTATTCCTGATTGAATAACATTGGCTCTAGTTAAACCTCTAGAAATGGTTGGTAAGTCTATTTCAAACACTTGAGGGTCATGAACAAGATTGAGATAAATTTTCTCTTTAATCAAGTTATCGAAAATTTTTCTTTTCTTTTCAAACTCATCGGCTTTAGCCTTGACTTGTTCACGAATTTCGAAGTATTTTTCCTTTTGGAGATAATCTGGTAATTCACCAGGTAATGGAGCCGGATACTCGTGTAATGGCCAAGCGTAATCGTCAGGTCCTGGGTATTTACCTTTAGGTACATCATGAAGTTGAGTCGGTCGACGTTTCCATGTACTTGATGATGGTTGTTCAGGAACCTTAAACTCTGGCTCAGTTGGAGTAACTTCAATGTCCATGAAGACATCATTTACACTATCATATTCACTTATTTCATTTCCTTGATCATCGGTCATAACGATAACAGTTGAATAAGTATCTTTAGATGTACCAGGTTCATTAGAACTTTTAACACGAGTTGGTGTTGGTTCAGTTACTTTCTTTTGTTTACCTTTATCAACTTTAGGTTGTTTAGACAACTCAGGTAATTGAAACGCTGATACTGGTTGATAGACACGATGTCGTTTCACATATTCACATGGAGTTGAATTGTTCTTAAGAGCATCTTGATTGATAGTAATGTTAATTGATGAATCACTTGAACTTGGTTGATTAGAGTCAATAGAAGTGTTTGCTGTGGTTGGTGTCGATTCATCACTTGGAACTTTTCCACTTTCCTTAGTCTTTTCAGGGGAAACAGGATTCGATGAATCAGAATCATCAAGTCGAAGTTTCTTCGTAACTGAAGTCAATGATGATTGTGAACCTTCATTAGATGAATCGGGTGTTGAACAAAGTCTTGATCGCTTAAGCGAAGCAGAAACACTATTGAGATCAATTGATTCTTGAGAATCACTTTCACTTGTTGGTGTTGATTGTTTTGGTGAATTAACTGGTGTAGCAGGAATTTCCTGAATTTCATCACTTTCTTCAGTCATGATTATGATCAACACTTTAAGTAAAAAGTTGATTAGATCAATTGAAACTTGGAGTTTAAACTCGATTAAGATGAAACTTTGATTTGAATCAGTTTGAAGACAAATGTAAACTGAAAATTGAGAAACAATCTTGGTTTTGTTTTCTTTGTAAATCAATTTGTTGGTTAATAATTTGAGCTTTGAATCATTAGAGATTCGTTGTCGTGAGAAATAACAACAATTAACACGATGAATAATTTGATCCTTGGTTAATTGCTTTAGCTTTTGCCTTGTTAAGGGTTGATCACTTATATCATCAAAGATAATGTTTTGTTTATCTTTTGTTATTTCTCGGTCAGCCGATTGTCTTTGTTTCTTTTGACTTGAGTTGATTGTT